GAATTTTAAAATGGTCGAATTACCGTAAGTGCCGTATTATCGATATGTCGAATTACGGTTTGTTATTTGATAGGCCGGAGGTCGGGACATCAGAACATGGTCGAATTATCGCTGAGTGTCGAATTGGGGTGTGTCGAATTAACGAGGTTATACTGTATATCTATTTTGGTATACATGAATATCATTCTACCAAAACTCTATGTTGTATTCTTGTCTGAAAATTGGCCCATTTCACCAGCTTAACACACACCAGTTTGGTAAATTTGACCAATTTCATAACTCCTTGATGTTTTGAAGCTGTCCCTGTACTGATGAGGGCCTGACACCATGGTATACAGGCTGGATGTGTTGGTGTTGTGTCATCACTTGTTTGTTTACTAGAGTGATGCACAGGGAAATTGTTCTGATGCAAAATTAAAGGTTCGTCTTTTTGGTAAATACAGTAGAACTACCTGTAAAGGAGGCCTAATTGTAGAGTCAAAGTGTCCTTTAGGGAGAGGTGTCTTCTTACCGGAGAGTTGCTAAATATAAAAAATTATAATTTTGACAATGGAAACTGTCCTTTGTAAAGAGGTGTCTTCTAGTGGGAGGTTCTACTGTATATATACAGGGTGTACCAGGTAAATTGGGAATTTCAACAATGGTATTTTAACTGAAATTTTTTGCAAGTAAAAATTAAAATATCCGAATGAAATTTGAATCAGTAGTAGATAAAAGGATATAGTTTTTATTTATTCAATGTAGTTTCCATTATTAGCTACAACAGTCTCGAGGCGAGTGCGGAATGAAGCACAGGCCTTGGCAACGATGACCTTGTCCATTTGGGTCATCACCGTGTGAACTGCTTTCTTGACAGACTGGATGGTGGTATGAGGAGCTTTGTTGACATCTCTCTCAACAACGCCCCATACATAGTAGTCGAGGGGATTGCAATCTGGAGAATTAGGGGGCCAAATATCAGGACCCCAGTGACTAGGGACGTTAAGTGTCAGCCACGATTGTGTCTTTTTTGCCTTATGGGCTGGAGCTGAGTCCTGTTGGAAGACATACTTCCTTCCTGCGGCCACCATGTCCATCCAAGGCTTCACAACGGTCTCCAGAACATTGATGTAGGTGTCAGCGTTCATCCTAAGGCCCTTCTCAAAGAAATGGGGAGGCATGACATCACCTTCACTGCTGATAACGCCAAGGACTATTACGGAGGCAGGAAATTTCGTGTGCATCACGACAGGTATCTCTAAGGGGTCTTTACAGATCCAGCTATCATTCCTGGGATTTACCTTTTGGTCCACGTCAAAGTTCTTTTCGTCAGAGAAGAACCTTAGCATGCCAAAAGAGTCGTGTTTCAGGTTGTTGAGGAGGGCAGCAGCCTTTCCTTTTCTGTTATTCTTCATATTCTCAGTCAGCAACTGACCTTTCCGAAGGGCATAAGACTTGAGACCAAGGTCCTCATGGATAGTTCTGACAATTGTCATAGAGCCAACGTCCATTTCCTTGGCTATGGCCCTCATGCTCTTCCCAGGGTTTCCATCAATCTTCTCCTTGACATTTTTGACAAATTCTTAGCCTCTTACCCTGTCCGATCGACGCGAGTGCTTTTTCCTTGTAGCTATCCCCTCTTTGTTACTGTCTGCCTCATCAAACTGCTTCTTGACACGATAAATAGTGGTTTTGGGCAACTTAAGAAAATCCACTATCTCTTTGGGGCTCCTTCCGGCGCGCAGAGCAACGATGATGGCAGCTCGATATTCAAATTCTCGGCGCACACTGCGCACACATGTACTGTTGCATTTTACATGAATATGGCTACGTAATGAAAAAAAAAACAAGTTTTCAATCTCAAGTAGTTTTTGTTTTATGGACTGTCAAAGTTAGTCCCAATTTACCTGGTACACCCTGTATATATATATATATCGTTTTGAAAATAGAGCAATCCATATTTAATTCATTAGATAATAAAAAGGCATATATTGGATTTAATAAAATATTTATTTTGCCAACATTACTATATGTATACAAAAATATAATGCCTTGATAAAGGTTGGCATTCAGCCAACCGAAATATTGGAAAAATAAATCTTTTATTAAATCCAATATATGCCTTTTTATTATATAATATATATATCTATATATATTCCAGATATGACATTGTTTAGCATGTTAGTAATACCAATGCAGTTTGTACATGCACATTTGCAACATTTTTTGGCTGTAGTGAGCCACAGAAGTTTGTACATGTACGCACTTATTGGTTTAGTAACCAATAGTCAACATCGCAGTCGTGGGGCTTAGGGTAACAATGGAGCATTTACTGAACACAGCCTGTATATATTTCTGTAAAATTAGTCTTTTTTTGACTATTTAGGTGACATCCAGAAACTATTTAGTGCAGTAACCTTAATAACAATCTACATATTGTTACATCAATTTTAATGCGCCTTACATTTATACAAAATATTCTATGATATTTAATATTTATTTAAAACAGAATATTTAGATTGATAAGGCACAATTTGGATTATTCTATATACAGTTACAAGCGTCATCATCTCTGTCACCGTTTGCTTTTTTTTTGGAATGGCGCTCTCCTATTGGTTGGCTACGATCACATGGCTACGATGGCGCCGCCACTACGCGAGACACTTTGTTTTTGACTTTGCCCCCCCCCCCACTCGCTTTTTGGTTTTTGTAACTATTGTGTTGGAGCGGGTCGCTCCTTAAATAAATGCATATATTAGTTAATAACTAAATGGAATCCTCTCTTTCTTTTTCCCAGTAAGAGACGCCTACGGAAGTCAACAGTACATAGACAGATAAAGCACATAGGCTATAGTTATTAACTAATATATGCATTTATTTAAGGCGCCAATTTATAATTGTAACAAATAGTATTTGAATCAAAACATTCAATCGGGTAAAACACGGGCGTTGCCCGGGTCATTCGGCTAGTAGATTATAAACACAAGGTAATAAGACCAAATCCAAATAAATATTTTTTTTGTTTATTTGTTTGGATTTAGTCTTATTACCTTGTGTTTAACAGAATTTTTAGATTATCTTCATTCCTTTTGTAATATTTTATTGTACATATATCTTGATTGTTTATTGGAGCGAGAGAGGACCTAGAAGAAGACTGCGGATCACGACCTACGAGGAAGACCACGAATAAATAAACACAATAACGTTGAAAGGTAATTTATTTTTATTTTATTTATTTACTTTTACTTTTGTTTATTTGCTTTGAATATGGAAACCCGCTCAGGAAACGTGTATAACACCAAGAAGGAAGAAACCAAGGTCGACGGACCCTGCAAAGCTGCAACAATATGCAAATATGACAATAAAACAAAAACCTTATTCAAAACAAAAAAAATAAATAAATTTTTCTGTGTCTATTTTTTAAAAATAAATTCTTTAAAATATAAATATTTTTTTTAAACACTTATTAATAAGGTTAAAATAAAAACATCAAACGAATAGAGGCTGCATGCCCTAGCTTACTAAACAATGAGGTATCCCAATAAAATCATTGTTAAAAAAAAATAGATAATTATATTTTGAAATAATATTTTTTTATGGTTCTATATGGGGCCATTAAACTTGATTTTAGAATAAATATTTTAAGACAAGATTACACATTTAAATTACTTGTGTCTAAAATTGGAAGAGGCTATGTTTTTACATGCACTTATTTAGATATATTTTAAGCACAAACCTAAGTCTCGTCTCGTTATATATATATTTTAAATTATAAATTAAATTAGTAAAAGTGATAAGATAATAACTTATTTTTGCATTTATGTCATCGAGGCACATAGCGTAAGGTTTTGAAATGTGCTTTTAAAACTACGAAAACACTCAAAAATATTAGTCAAATTATAATATTTTAATTTCAATGATAAATATAGATTATTATTAAATAAAATTTTAAATATATTAAAGCCTGGTGAATATATGGCATATTTTGAAATTGCTTTTTATTATAAAAATATTATTTTATTGTTATTATTCATAAAACTTTAAAAAACGTATATTATTAATCCACTCTTGCTGCGTTTGCTTGTGCTGATAATCTATAACATTTTTAATTGGATATAATTCTAGGGATATAAATTATTATTTTTTATGTCGATAAAAAATAAATTAAAAAGAACCCTGCTTTCTCTCTCTCTAAAAAGAAAAAAAAGAAAGAAAACTTAGTTGAAATATTGTGATAAAACTACTTTGGTATCTTACTAGTTAGGTTTGTGATTATATAGGTAAAGATAACTCAGCTCTCCAAACCTATTGTATGATTATTTTAAAAAATGCATGTTCTACTAAGGTAGATATTGATATATTCTTTTAATCAATGTTTAGTTGATTTCTGTTCCACCAGATGGCGCTCTGCCTTCTGTAAAGCACATGTGCTCCTGGTCAGGATATACCATTTTTAATATTGATTTCAATACCTGATCTTTTTATCTTTTATTTTTCTTTCGTTTTTTAATGTGCTAAGCGTATTTACGCAAGTTTGGCCTTAAATACCCATTTCTTGGTTTTTCTGGAAGCCACTGGGACCAAAAAATCTTTTTTGGTCGCAGTGGTTCAGCCTACTCCACGCTGACGAGCGCCAAAAAGCGCGAAACGCGTTCGTGGATGGCTTTTCTTGATTTGTCAAGAAATTGGGTTGGCCAAATATCAGGGAACAGGCTAAATCAATGTTTAGTTGATTTCTGTTCCACCAGATGGCGCTCTGCCTTCTGTAAAGCACATTTGCTCCTGGTCAGGATATGCCATTTTTAATATTGATTTCAATACCTGATCTTTTTTTCTTTTTTTCTTTCGTTTTTTAATATTCTTTTGTATTGTAAAACGAAAATTGCAATTATACCGCGAATGTTTCTTTTAAACAAAAATCGAAATTTATTTTAAAGAGAAATAACGACCATTTCTAACTCTAAGGATGAAGTATGATAGGATGAATTGTGAAGAGTAATGACAAACGGAAAAATAAAAGTGTCCAGGGGCGGGAATCAAACCCACACGTTCTGCTTACCGGGCAGGTGCCATGTCCACTAGGCTACCCTGGAAGTTACTTTAAATATTATTTACGAACGGAAAATATGTCCAGGGTAGCCTAGTGGACATGGCACCTGCCCGGTAAGCAGAAGGTTGTGGGTTCGATTCCCGCCCCTGGACACTTTTATTTTTCCGTTTGTCATTACTCTTCACAATTCATCCTATCATACTTCATCCTTAGAGTTAGAAATGGTCGTTATTTCTCTTTAAAATAGATTTCGATTTTTGTTTAAAAGAAACATTCGCGGTATAATTGCAATTTTCGTTTTACAATCATCAGCCGCGTTATATTGTATTCTTTTGTATTGCTGTTAAATGGGTATTTGTTAAATAGGAATTACAAGAGATTTTAAAAACAAGTTTTTATTTTGTAGTTGGCTCAAAGCAAATTAGAAGCTGGTATTAAGTTGAGTCTACTCAAAGCTGGTATTATTTTTTAAAATGGTATTTTAGGTTATAGCGTTTGAAGATCATTCCTAATCTCTCTATCCCAGACTGTAGTGAAGTATGGAAATATTGATTGGAATAAAGCTGTCCTATTTTTTTTAAATAGAGGCAATTGAATTTAAAAGTTTTGAAATGATCCCATGTTTATTAATTTTCTAAATATACTCGAGGGAATATTTTTAATGGTTCTCATTAACTTGATGACAAAAAAAGTAGGAAATTATTGCAAGTATCATATGTACTTATGGAGAAAACTTAAGTAAATTGTACCTTTTAGTATGTATATATAATATATTCGTTTTGGATTGGTTGTTTGGATTGGGACCCTTTTTTGTTTGTTGATTGTTGTAAGACCCTGTTGACTTACTGTAGGGTTGGTGACTTGTGGTGGTTGATGGCGCAGTCGTCTGGTCGAGGTGGTGGTTTTTTTCACAGGGGAAATAACGAGAGGGACACAGGATGGGGTTGAAGAGGACCTCGCGATTAAGGGAGAGAAGGTTTTTTGACTAATGGGGCACTTGACTATGACATTCTGAACATAGAAGTTACCTGGGTGAGAAGGGGTTAAGCACGTCTTGCTCCTTGTGGTGGCGAGCTCCCAACTGACTAACTTGAGTCCGAGATTTTCCTCGTTAACTCTCTATTGCTCTCATTGGTTGAAATCGTCTACGTGGCGACTTTTGGTTGGATGTTAGCTATTCATGCTGAACTCTGATTGGATATTGGTACCTCCATTGTCTTTTTCATGATTACCATCCTCCAGGAAGAAGAAGGTCTTTGAACTCAGTTTTATAGTTCCTGGGTAATAACCTTTACTTCCTGGATAATGAAATCCTGGTAATGGCTGTTCTCTCTAGTTTCTCGAGGCCTAGCTTTTATTAAAACTTTTTGGATCATACATTGCATATATTGTGGTGGGGTTACATCTTGGTATATACAAATTATGACATATATCAGTATTCCATAAAAAAAACTCTTAAGGATATTCTATGAATATTGATCTTTATTGTGAAGACACACGAGATAACCAAATGTGAACAAAATTGCCTCTATCTGGTAAAAAAAAAAAAAAACGACGACCGGCAGCATCAAATACTTCCACTTCCTTAAGTTTTATAGATGAGTGAATATATTTTGTTCAATTCAGCATAAATCTTCTTTGTCAAGGCCCTTACAAAAAGATTATATGTATGTGATGATTTAAGACCATGGAATTGTTGTAAATAGTCTAGATATCTACTACCACATGTTCCACCCCATGACTGTATATAACTTCTTATGTACTGCACATAGAAAACCTTAACTAACATCAATCTGTACCGCGTAAGAATCTAATAAAGTATCGCAACTGTACAGATAGAAGGAATGGAGACTAACAGGAGAAAGTTAAGGTTAAAACTAATCAGGCTTAGGTGATAGTCGAAGTAAGGCCTAGCAAAGAAGCTTAAAGTTAGAACCACTATTAATAAATCTATAGTCAATTTTACGATCGCGGAAACCATAAAAGTCGAGTAACGCCCCGTATTTCCGGAGCAAGGCCGGATATATCTTCCGTCAAAGAGATAAGCCAGGCCCAATCAGAAGACAATACCTAAGTAGGTCAACCAATAGCCAACGGCCACGTGAAAAAGTCCCACCAATTAGGAAAGAATCACCTAAATAGGTCAACCAATTAGAAAGAAGAAAGGTCTTGGTGTTAAATCGAGAACCTAGGTTAGGCAGACTTCGCTTGGATCTCACCAAGGTAACACTTGCTCTAAAGATCTCTCTCTCCGCTCATCCCATTCCTTCTTGACGTCAGACGCTTCTTAGTGGAATCTCTGTTTGTTTATTTCACCTTTGGCCCAGCTGTGTCGCCTTCCACCACGACTGCACGGTAGAGTTGACATCGAGGGTCGTCTAGCATCAGGTAACACTGGTCCCAGAGGTCCCAAGATATCACATGTATATAAGGAAAAGTTTATGAAATAAAAATAATTTAAATCAATAAAAAAATTTCTTCCAACTTTATCAGCAAGCAATCCTATAGACCAAATCTCGAACCAATTCTTACAAACTACATTTCAATTATGAAATAATCTAAAAAGAGAGTATGCTCAAATGCCTCATCATATTTACTTAATAGCAAAAAAAAATGTTTCAGCCTAAGAAAGATAAGTCATTGTTAGGATTCATTCAGATTCAAAAGTTGAGGCATGGAGCAAAAAAAAAAGGGTCAATTTTTAAACCAATAAAAATTTCGGACTGGCATCTGACTTTCATAAAGAAAAAAACTAATATGAACCAAACCTCATCGTCTCAGTCATTTCCTGAATGTGAAACTGAGTTACTGATTACTTATGTGTATGTATGTATGTATGTATGTATGTATGTATATATGTATGTATGTATCTATGTCGGCTATACACGTCCACAATACGTAACTAATCTGACTGAAATTTTAACAGTATATAGAGTAGAATCTGGAAAAACTTATAGTGAAAATTCCAGGTCTCTATCCCGAATATTCTTCGAGTTATTTGCAAATTGCGTTGCAAATTTGCCTTTTCGCTCGCAAGCAGCGCCTCTAGCGGTGAAGATGGGAGATAATATCAGCTGACCTAATGTACATGTAAAACGTGTCTTGACAGGACATAGAGAAAAATCTGGAAAATATATTTATCGAATTTTTAGCCAATAAAAAATAAAATTGACAGGTTCTGGGCAAAAATAGTTGTTTTTTTAGTCAGAAAATGATGATGACAATATTGCTGTATCATGTTTGATTATCAGATACAAAATTATATCGGGAAAAATTCCAAAAAGCTGAGACCACGGGTGAAGCCAGTTAATTTTTAGTGTGCAGGAACAAAATTATAACATAAAAACATTCATTCGAGAAAAAGACACAAAGCCAGATCATCTCTTTATAAAAATATCGCTTCTCTGACACAAAGTTTGGAGCGGGACGTTTTACAAGAGTGACATCCACGGCGCCAATTTATAATTGTAACAAATAGTATTTGAATAAAAACATTTAATCGGGTAAAACCTGGGCGTTGCCCAGGTCATTCGTCTAGTAGATTATAAACACAAGGTAATAAGACCAAATCCAAAAAATAAATAGTATGTGACCGCGTTGTTACCATTTTCAGACAAAATTACTTTATGTATTTCAGTTCTTTTGTGTATTATCATTCAGTACTTTTGTCTGAAGATGGTAACAATGCAACGTCACACACTATTTATTTTTTGGATTTGGTCTTATTACTTTGTACCAGAGAATACCTTTCTTTCAAATATACTTTGTCTCTCTACATTTAGGGAGCCTTTAAAGAGAGAGAGATTGATATTGAAACTGGTTTATTAATCGTTCATATAATATTATATAGGGCCAAATATAAAGTTATAATACAGAAAAAAAAAGATAATATATATATACACCTATCCCCGATTTACACGGTAGATACGTTCCTGAGAAAAACGTAAATTGGGGGATAGGTGTACAAAGAAATAAAAATAAAATGCATTGACAGGTTAAAATATGTAGTCAGCACATAAGCTCGGGATTCCTCGTGAGATGTGTACACAGCGCATGTGTTCAATCACAGTAGCATTTAGTATAGTGCGATAAAAACAAAAAAAAACTTATTTGGAAAACCGTGTAAAAGCGAAAACGTGTAAAACAAGTACCGTGTAAATCGGGGGATAGGTGTATTTACATCAGACATCATCCTTCTCTAAAGGGATGTCTAGACTATGTCAAATGTTCAAGGCCTGAGTTCGGAAAGGCCCGAGCTTATGGGGGGGTTTTTGTCCCCATCGTGCTCAATTGCATCGCCGAGGAATTCGTACAGAATTTTCCTGTTTTCATAGGAGAGTGCATCGGGAAGTGTTTCTCTGTCAGAGCGATGTATAACCGCGGCCACTATTTCATCATCATCAACCTCATCATGGAGAGGGGCCAAAATAGAGTCAGCGTTTAGCTCTATGAACATATTCTCAACCTGATCAGTCATGGTTTGGTTCTCCTCTTCAGGAGCCGCAGATGGCTCAGCATTGGTCGAGGAGGGCTCTGGTCGTGACGGCAACTGGCTGGTGCTCGGCGCCGGAGCAGGAAGCTCGGGGGCTGGAGTCTCGTATGGACAGACAGGGAAGTTGGCCCCGGACGCAGGCGCGGCAGGGCTGGAGGATGTTGAGGGGGTCTGCTTGAAGGGCGCAGACAGTTCCGCGGGTGGTGTAGAGAGGGCGGATTTGTTGAAGGGGATAGGCTTGGAGGAGGGAAACCTCGACACCGGGCTCTGGCGGGTGTCCTGATGACGTTTCCCCGCTGATCCCCAAGGGGCATGTGGCGCGCCGATGTCCTTGCCGGTGGCATTACTACACCTAACGCCGTAGGTGATGTAGGCAGGCGTTGATTCGCTTTTCGAGACGATAACCAGCTTGGCAGGGAGCTGGTGGAGTTTCATTCCATCTTTTAGAAGGATGAAGACCTCCCTGTTGCCGGTGGTCCAGGTGTAGCCACCACTCGCCACTACCTCATGGGCCAGGGAGACAACCCTGCAGTAGGGCCGCATCATCTACT